TTGTTCTGACTAATCTTAAGGTATGCCACGCTACAGTAACATCCAAGGCTTACCTTAGATAAAATAGGAAGTCAACATCGCGAATCTGTATGAAACTGTTCTTGGGGGAGTTATGCAGCCCTGCGCAAAGTTCCAGGCGGATTTGCGATGTTGTCTTCCTACCGCATCTACCGTACACCTCAGATGTCACTGTGATAGCATACCTTGGGATTCGTCTGGACGAGCTGAGTCTAACACCGCCGCTTTTCCTTTTTAAAAATAGATGCGACGTTTGATTTTTATGTGACATGGCGTTTTTTCTTTGCAAAAATTATGAGCGGTATAGTTCTCAAAAGAACAATCATTATTCAGAGAACTGATAGTGGCGCCATGTGTAGACATGTAAATGATATGGCAAAGTGAGGTAAAAGACTTACTGATGTTTCTTTTTTCTAGATCAAGAAGGGACAGCAAACGAGTATGTTACTGTTTTAATTTTCTTATTGGATAAGCAGTGATCAAAAACATTCAAGAGAAAAAGAGAAGATAATATTGAAAAGGAAGAAGAGAAAGTCGGCAGAAAGTGTTTCTAAACACAAGGGTTCAAGGTTTGCCAGTCGTTTTAATTGACAAACAACAAGACAACAATCCTAACAACCAGAAGCATTGCCATCCGATGCATATATGAGAAAAAGGGGAAAAAATCATGACTTCTTGTTATCATGATGGCAAATTGTGATCAAAATTATCAAATACGTCGCGAATTCTTAAAATCTAACCATTCTTTCAAAAAACTGTTTTAAAAAATTATTTCCAGTGAGGACTGTAAAACTGCGGTGAGAGATGCGTGAGTTAAAATATCTATAAATATCAACTTTTGATTAATTCCATTTTGATTTCTAGATCACCTCGCTCAGCAATACCTTCTCATGATGCCATTGAAATGGAAAAACGGCAAGCCCAGAAGGCAAAACGTCTACAGGTTGCAGCGAAAGACATGTGTACAAGCATTCATTTCATATAGAGATTCCACACAGCAAAATTTTCAGGTGAAAGTTTTTGTGGAGGCCACCCTGCGGAAAGGTGTAAACGGCTTAATTGCGGAGTTTAAAGGAATGAAACGTGGCAACGATTTCACGGTGATGACTGCATTTGTAGCCGAAATTCCAAATGGTAGAAATCGATACAAGGTTATCGTAACGTGTCTCATTTTGGTGCAAATGCGGATAAATTAAGCAATTAAAGGATGTCGGCTGTTTGGATAATCGTCGGGTTGTTGTGAATATTGGCAGTACATCTTACATACATGCAAATTATGTTTCAACACCTAATAATCCGAAAAGATTTATTTGTACGCAGGTAAGTTTGGATAAACTATG